CACGGTTTTGGCACATTGTTTTGCCATTGATGGTTGTGAAATTTTATTAATTTGAGATGAGGAATGGTGGAGTGGAAAAAGAGAGATAGCCGAAAAAAAAAAGAAAAGAAAAGAAAGAGAGAAAGGAAGAGAGAGAAGGGAGAAAAGAAGAGAGAAAAGGAGGAAGAAGGAAGAGAGAACGTTCAGCCGAAGGAGGAAGGGAAAGAAAAAGATAAATGAGGGAGAGAAAGTGAGGTGAAGAGAAGGATGATGCTTGGGGCAGCTGGGTATTTCGGGTTGAGCTAAATTTTTGTGTGAGTGGAATATTATTAAACTTGCATTTAAAATCATGTGTTGGTTGGAATGATCATATGCATGTGCATACCCAATTGATTGAGGTTTTATTTTAGTTTTTTAGTTCTGAATTTCTAACAAATTGAAGATCTCTGTGACATGCATGTGTTTGGAATTGAGAGTATGAAATTATGTTTATGAAAATGTTGGGTAAATTGCTATTAAAAAGAGGTACTTATGCATTGCATGTTACTTATAATTAGGCATGGCTTCTACATGAATTGAATGGTATATTGCATGTGCATTTCGGTTGCTGGAAAGGTTTATTAATGATATAATTTTGTTTAATTGCATTGTGAGATGTAACTGCATGTGTGGGAAGTCAGCTAATTAAATTGTGTGGAGTGAATTGGAAGGTTGTGGGTTAGTTATAAAATTGACTTGATTGGAAACATGAAGATGGGTGGATACTAAATGAATTTTAAATGTTATATTTGAATGTTTGTTAAGCTTTGTGATGAGTGGACGGCTGGAAAATTTGGGAAATAATGGGCATGAGACTGCTGGCCTATATTGTATAAAATGTGAATGTTTACTTTGCCTAAAAGGTTAGAGATTGGCTGGATTTTTTTTTGTGTAATGGGTATGAAATCAGGACCTGGAGGTTTACTTAAATATGATATATATATAATATATTATATATATATATATATATAATATATATATATATATTATTATATATATTATATGTATATTGTATTTGCTATATTGTTGTTGCATTTTGACTAGGTATTTTTGGAGTCATCAGTGTAGTATTGCTGCATTTTCATAAACTGCGACTTGATAAAACGTGAATGTTGAGTGGGAATGAGTTTTGGAAGTTGGTGAAAATAGAATTGATATTAAGGTAGATGAATATGAAGTTAATGAGATATTAAATACTATAATGGTCCATTTTTATTTTGGAAATGTGCAGAAAGATGTTGAATAAAAATGTGAGTTTTTTTCTTATGGGCAGTAGGCTCTTGCAGCAGGGGTTAATTGTCATGTTTAGAAGTTTTGGGACCCTAATAAAATTGATGATAAATATAGGGTGTAAATAGAATTTACATACTTTGTATTTTGACGGTGTGACATTGTATTCATGATTACATGCCTTTTATGGGAATTTATATCATATTATACTTTATATATGCATAAGGCATGCATGATGCATATTTGGAATGAAATTGTGGATGCTGATTATGTTATGTTTTGACTCCCGGATTGGAAACCGTACCCATGCCCCCTCCAGACATAAGCTAGTATTTACATTATCCTCATGTGCGCATTGAGATGGTCCGTCCTACCGAACCATTGGTATCCTACTAGACCAAGACGGACGCTTCGAGCTCCAGGCGGATTACACCGGGCGGTTATTGGCCGGTGTGGGATTTTGGACGCCTCGAGGGTAGACTGTGGGCGAGATTATATTTGATACCATATCATGACACCCCGAGGGTAGACTGTGGGTTGAGCATGGTTATCCAATGATGTTCGTACCATCCCGAGGGTAGACTGCGATGGTGCCACCCCGAGGGTAGACTGCGGTGGTGTAGCTTCATGTCTGAGTTAGGGACTGGTTCAGATAGTTATGATCTTGGCCTCTAAGTGCTAGTAGGTGGTGATAATTGATTTATTTATATGATAGTGTGTTTGATTTCATGGCATCCGAGAATAATATATATATATAATATAATATACTGTTGTTGCCTTATCATGTAAGTGCACTAGTGTTGTGTGGCATACTTATTCATACATGTTTTCAAAGTTAAAGTTATTTTCGTATAAATTATATTTCCTTCACTGGGCTTTCCAGCTCACTGTTTTATGTTTCCTCCCCCAGGACCGTAGATCGGGTTCGTGTGGAGCATACTCTATGCTCTAGTTGGCCTTGACGCATGATGATTTGCATCTTTTACAAACTTTAGTGGACTCTGATACTATGTTTCTTTTGTAACTGGATTTCAGTTCCTGTTTTTTAGAATAATTATTTGTGTATTTCCACCTTCTAAACCTTAAACAGGCAAATGCACTACTTTTCACTTCGTCTATAGACGAAATTGTTTTTATGAATGTTTTTTTTTTAAAGAGTATTCACCTTCCTTCGGGATCTTGAGTCTCCTAGCGCCCGATCCGATGGGATAGGGATACTCGGGAGGGGTGTACACTTCATGACTTCTGGGTGGGTTCACAAAGCACCAACCCATTCTTAGATTTTTCATTCTCTTTACTTTTAGAGTAGCTCATTCACAAAGTTCTCTACTCTTTCTCAACCTACTTCTCAATGCACAATTAATGCATAAGGATGATTCACGCTTAAAATTTCTTACTTAATGCCTTATGAAATGCACAAATGCAATATTGCATCAAGATAGTCTTTCTGCACAGGTCACACAAAGAGGCATAACTTGAGTTATACACATCGGATTGCTACGATTTTAGTCTCTTTTAAAGCTTAGAGACAAGGCTATAACTTTTATGTTTGGTCTAAACCCAGTTCAATCCGTAAGATGCCCAAAAATCACTCAAAAGTCACGGCTGTGACAAGACAGTTTGGTAACATGTTTTCACTTAGGCATTCATCAAACATTATTTGTGCATAAACAACCCTAATTCAATTATCATTCTATTTATTTCTCAAACCATCCAAAAGAGAGAAAAACTCTCTTGTAGCATCACACTCTCACATGGCAACACACTCCCAAAAAAATTCTCCAATTCTTCTAATTTCAACCCATCATCAAATCATCACATATACTTCTCATATTCAAATATATCCAAGCATAAGCATAATTCATCATACATCTCATCTCAATTTCTCAATAATCACAATATATCCATATTTAAAAGAAATCTCTACTCACTTGAATTCTAAATTTTAGCTTGAGTTGGATTTTGAGTGGAATTACTTACCTTATGCTGGAGTAGTCTCTCCTAAACTCTCTACCTTGTTGGATTCCAATCTTCTCTTAACCCAAGCATAAACTTCATAAGAACTCAATCTTTACACAATAAATCATAGTAAAGAGCATGAATCCTACTTTTTAATGTCTAGAATCAAAACCCTATGAAAAACTACTTAAAGCCCCAAAATCCTTGGAGGATTGATGAAAATTTGAGAGAAAATGAGGGAGGAGTGTGCGGTGGAATGAAGAAAATAAGGGTTTCAAACACTTAACACTTTAGTTTTAACCACACTTTCCCATTATGCCCTCATTCTTTCGTAGAAATTCCATCTATGTCCCTTAGTCAATGACCATAATGCCCTCATTTTGAAGCATTCTCTATGAATTTTATCACTTTTCACTCTCCACAATTTCAAACTAATTTTGAGTGAAAAGACCATTTTACCCCTAATGAAAGTTTAAGGGATTTTCTTCACATTTTTCTCAAAATAACTTTAACAAAAATTCAACTAAGGGCCAACCAACCAATATTAACAATATATCAACCCAAATAAAAACAAAACAATAAACATTCAAGCAATATACCATAACTTGGCTACGTACCTCAAGTGGGGCGTTACATATATAATACTGTATCATTTGTTGTTTTATTAAGAGTATAATTGATAAATCATTGGATTTTATGGCTAGATTTGTACTTTAAATAAAACCTGCTGCATATTTTGGAAAAGTGTGATATTAAGTACATATGTCCAAACCTATACCAAACAAGGATAATTACTTACTTGATCTCGTGGTCTAACGTAAAACAGATTATGGTGCTTGCAGGGATGTACTTATTATTACTTGCTACCTATTTTAGAGTTCCAATGTATAATTTGTGTCGTTGACACATCCAAAGCTAGCAGAATTTATCAATAATTCAACTTTTTTTTCTTTATTATTGGGAGAATAACATAGACTAATAAACCTAATGGTAATGTAACCGAGTTAGGGTAAAAGAGTATCAATGATAAACTTTTCAGACTTTGGACATAAACTTTATTATTTCTCTTTAAGGCAAGGTGACCCTATTGCTTTGGAATTTATTCGCTCTTATATGTATAACGAACAAAGAGAATGAGTAAAAGCTACAAGTTTTTGAGAAAAGACATGTCATAACTTTTTTTAATGAGGTATTTTGTCGGAGCTTATCACTAATATATCTTTCTTTTGTAAAACTCATTTAGAAATATGAAATAATCACATATATAACTGTCTTTACTAATTTTAATTTCCAAAATGTCATGGGTTTGTTTAAAGGATAGATCCAGCCGTAAAATCAAATGATTTAATGGCAATATAACTGAGTTAGGGTAAAAGGGTATCAATGATAAAGTTTTCAGACTTTGGACATAAACTTTAAGCTAAAACACTTAAATTTCATAATTTAATATTCATTGTAATATTTTCCCTAATAATTTTTTATCCGTGATTGCAAAAGCAATACTGACCTTTTTTTTTTTTTTTTAATTACTATGAGTACAAGGATTTCGGAAGGAAAGAGTGGAGTTCTACTATAATGTTCATAAGATACATTACATCTCCCCATGATAGTTTAATTAAGGTAAACCTCAATGGCATAACATTTGTTTAAGAAAGTAACTAAAAAGCAAAGGCGTTAACAGGGTGTGGGACATTCTAGATTACTTCCCTAGAGTGGCGACTTTACAGCTAGTTTTCTACTACACTTTCTTCTTATAAACAAATTCAGATGAACCAAGCTCAGTAGCAGATAATATGAGACTGAGTGAGATGAAAAGAGAGAAAATCATGAATAGAAGTTGTCTGACGCTTCTTACCAAGTCTGCTAATCCTTTAATTATTTTATTTCTCCTTTGTCAAAGTGCAGAACCAGCAAAGAAAATACTGCCGTCTGCTGAATGTATTATCTAATCTCTCTTCCTTAATAAATATTTTCAGTAATTAACATTTATTAATTTAGTTTATGTCAAAATATTTGGCAGCTGAGGCTCTTTCCAGATTCTTATGGAGCTTAAGGAATTCGAAGCTGTTCGGAGCAACAGATGTTTCAGATTCCTTTTGTGAAGAGAAGTACGATCTTTACTATAAGATCAATTGCACCAGTATCGACAATACTTGGCACATCACTGCAATGTAAGTTATAAAGAGCATATCATTGAAATGTAAGGTTGACTCTGATACAATTCAATCAAATTGATTCAAGATCCTTATCATAACTAAGGTTTTCATGTTAAATTCAATCATATTTGTGGAACAGAAGTTTGAGTAGTGTACATTTAGATGGATATATCGACCCTGTTGTGAAAAATCTTACATACCTGGAGATACTGTAAGTATAATTGCTTTTAATCATTTTTTTCCCCCTGACTGTACTTCCCAGTAACGTAGCTGGGCTGTCTCACATTTGCCGCAGAAACAGAGTAATTTCCTCTGTGGGCAATAAGAGGTATCAGCCCGGTATCATAGAAATACCCTTTGGTTGAATCTTTGGTTATTTTTATGTCAAAACTCAACAGTGATCTATCCCGCAACGATCTTGAAGGTCCCATTCCTCACGAACTGGGAAGTTTATCTCATCTTACTGACCTGTAAGTTTTGTTCTATGCTACAAGTTCAATGATATTTTTTTCTTTGACTGAGATTAGGGTGAATTCAATGTTACAAACATTTCTATAATGAGCCAGTGGGTTTGTATAATGATCAGAGACCTCGCATTCAATAAGTTGACTGGGTCAATACCTCCGAGTTTGGGGAATTTGAAGAACCTAACCATACTGTAAGTCTTGTTATAGAAATGAAAATTTTAAGGCTTTTAGATCCCATTAATTTTCTCCAAGTGGAATTATTGTGAAATCTCTGTTACAAACTTCACATAATGAGCCATTGAATTCGTATAATAATCAATAATCAATAATCAGGGCCTTCTCATATAATCAGTTGACTGGACCTATACCTGAGCGTCTGGGGAATTTGAAGATGCTAGAAGCACTGTAAGTTTTGTCATAAAATGATCGTACAGTAAGGTTTTTAGTTCCAGTTATTCTCCCCGTGGGATTATTATGAATTCTATGTTACATCAGTATAATTGGAATCCGTATAATAATCAATAATTAGAGACTTCTCAAAGAATCAACTGGCTGGAGCCATTTGTGGAGATTGGAGAAGCTAAATAACACTGCAATTCATGATATTGAAATAAAACTTTTTTAAGTTCCATTTAGTTTTCTTATATAAAGATAGAGATATGGCTCTTTCCATTCCTTTGTCTTCTAACGGTTTCTGCTTTTCCGTCACAGCTACCTGTTTAATAACTTTCTCAATGGCAGCATCCCACCATCTTTGGGTAATCTATCATCTCTGGAACTAATGTAAGCATCTTCATAATCAAAGTATTTTCCTCATTCACTTCATTGGATTTACGTAATCTCATGTTTATGGGTCTATTATGCAGGTACTTAGCGTATAACAGGGTATCAGGCTCAATTCCGGTTGAACTTGGCGAACTTGGCAAACTCGAGAGATTGTATTGTTATGCAACGGAAACATAAACTCTAACGCTAGCTTATTGAATATAATAATACAAGTAGTAAAGCATAAATAAATTGCCAAAATTAAATGCAAAAATAAAGAATACCAGGAATTAACGAGGTTCGGTATTAAAACCTACGTCCTCGGGCGCTGCAAAAAAAAGCTCCACTATCTCCAAACAATATTACAAATATTTGTGCAATACAACAAATACCCAAAACAAAGGGGAGATACAACAAAACTTGCAAACTAAAGGGTCCTTAAAGAAAGAACCCTAAACAAAAGAAGTATAATGGAATTACAACTTGGGATATAATTAACATTGATTTAGGACCTTATATATAGGCCCCAAAAGTTTCCCACTTTTCAATCCTAATCAATGTGGGACAAACAACCTTTTCTTGGCCTATTACATATAAGTCCCTAAACCTTTCTCCATTATCATTTCTACCCCATGTGATTTTGCTAAAAGCCATTTTTCAACATGTATGAATCTTCTTTCGGTCTCTCTACTTCAAGTCATAAACAAATGATTCTCACAATCATTAACCCCATTATTTCTCAATTTTATTGGTAGAGATTTGAAGGATAATGAACTAAACGGTTCACTTCCAAAAGAACTTGGAAAATTAAGCAATCTTCGGACTCTGTAAGTATATATAGGGGGACGTACAAGACCCGAAAGGAAGGATAGGAATGATTATTTAGTATAAGTTTTTTGTTCCTGGAACAATGAATATGGGCCATGACCTTTTGGAAGTGATTGTACTGTTGTTGCAGCTATTTGTCATCCAACTATTTCACTGGGAATTTACCTGAAGAGTATCAAAATATTACGACCATGGAGTCTTTGTAAGTGAGTCATCCTTTAGCTTGCAATAGTTTTCTATGTTTTCATCTTTGCTTCTTCTTCCTGGGCAACTTGTAGCTAATTAATTTCTTTTGCAGTCACGTCGCCGGGAACTATTTGACGGGTCCGTTTCCCAAATTCGTTGTTAAATGGGTCAATCTCCTTTTCCTGTAAGCCTTTTTAACTGTATTATGTATCTAAATGTTAATCAATAGTTCAGCCATTCCAATTTTTGACCCTAATGATAAAAATTGAGAAATTATAGCCATAATGAATCCCGATCTCGACCATTAAAACTTTTCAATAATGGTACAAAATTTTTACATAAGGATTTAAAACTTCAAAAAAACATAATTGACTTTAATTATCAATTAGGAAACCATCTTGCATAATGGATGGAATAGCCCCGATGCAGGTAATTAGTTGCATCGGTGCTCTTCGGCGACACAGCGCACCTTGTCAGGGCTGAACACCGATGCAGCCTGCACCGGTGTAAGCCTTTTGACATTCCAGCGCAAGCTTGCTGGCTGGCCCGATGCATTGTCGGCATTGAGAGAGGCCATGGGTTGGCCACATGACAATAGCCAAACTCAACGCCATGCTACGCGTCGGAGTTAAAACATGGTTCGATAGAATGGCGTGACTATATGTGTTTTACAATAGTATGTCTTTTAGGACTATTAATCACAGAGGAACAGTCAGCTTATTGCATTATGGATATTCTCCGTTGCTCACAGAGATCTGGGAGGAAACAATTTTGAAGACGAACTGCCTCCAGAAATTTTTACAATGACAAATCTTCAGACTTTGTAAGAAAAATTCAAACTCGTATGGTTTCTTGTTGCAGAAATGAACTTCTCTTAGTTATTGTGATACTTTCTGGCATGTCTTTGTTATACCAGGAGGGTTAGTGATCTGAACCACACAGGTTTTCAGTTACAGAAGTCAATTGACCAACATGTATACTCTGTAAGTAGTACAATTCATTTGTTTCACATTGTTATACCAGGAGGGTTATATCTATTCCTGTAAATTGTAGGAATTTTTTGTAATTTTTAGATCCTTAATTTGTATATATTATGTTGTTTGACGGATCCTGAACTCCAATTGATTTGACTAATTTTCTCAAGGGTACTGCGGAACTGCAATATTATCGGTCAAATCCCACCATTTATATCTGCTGAAAATAGCATGAGCCTACTGTACGTCTCTTTCCTGATAAAATCCAAAGCTTTTGTTTTAAATTTCTTCTGTTCATTAAGTCACTAATAATTTATCCAAGTACATTCAATGACTAGTCATTTGAAGATATTATTTACGTGCATTGCAGCGACTTGAGCTTCAACAAATTTACTGGTGTGATCCCAGACTATATTCTGAATCTGGAAGCACTTGACATGTATGTGATAACTTTTCTTGAGCACCATCAGTCTATCTCCCTTTTTTTCTTCATATTATTGTTCATCACTATATTCACTGACGTTAATTGACATCTCTGCTTTCAAGGTTTCTCTCCGGAGATGTGATCAATCAGACAACTCTCCGCTGGATTAATAACAGTTTGAGGGGGTATAAATAAATAAATATATATAACATTAATATTTGGCAAATAAATACTTTGAACTTGACCACAGAAACGTTCAGTTTATAGGTAAATTAAAAGTGCAACTCTCAATAATAATAATTAAGCTCCAAGCATACTTTCTATTAAATTGTCATTCTACCTAAAATCTTAAGCTAGTAAGACGGCATTCAATATATATTAATATTTTTTAGTATAATACTGTCATGTCATGCGATCAACATAAAACACATTTCTGCTTATAGTATGAAGGTGCATGTCTGTGACCACATTTCCACTCTTTTGTGAAATTATTGATTATTCTCTTGCAGGGGTATTTCATACAATAACTTGACAATTAAAGAAGCAGCAGTAAAGAACTATGTGTAAGGAAATAGAAATACACTATATCTTCGTTATTAAAGTAAAAGATATACATGTGTATCTGCTAAACTATCTACCAAGTATTTGTAATATTTCATTATCATATCAATTGAGGAAATATATCATAAAATCTGTAAATTGTTATCTTGCAGGAATCTTTCAAATATAAATATGTAAGGAAATTCCATCATTCTTCCATTCTTTTGAGCTTTGAATTTTACTTCTTGATGTCTCTCTCTTTTTAATCTTTGCGTGGACTTGTCTGCATGTGCTGCTGCAACCAGTGAACCAAATAACAGGTAAGTCCATATCTTCAATATTCTGCAATTAATATAACCCTGAATTTTTCTCACCAATTGAATTGTGTTCTTCAGGTAATCCCTCTATCAGATCATGGATAATCGTTGTGGTAGAGAAAAGTCCAAGTGTACGTTTATTCTTCAGCAAGCACACAATTTGAGCCTTGATATGACAACAATAATTTTACTTATACTGACATTCTTGTTTCTTTCAGACGATTCATTGTTTATAAATGCTGGTGGCGAGCCAATAAAATTTGACCAAAATGACTTTGATGAAGATACTTCTACACTGTTAACTACTTTGTCTGAAAATTCAACAAAGCCCTGGGCTTATAGTTGTTTTGGAGACTTCTTATGGTCACCCGATTCCACAAATTACATACAGAACATTAACCCTGGTGAAGCTTATGTTCCCGAGATATATTTTAAGCTCGTGTTTGCCCTCAATCTCTAACATATTATGGTTTCTGCTTACACAATGGCAATTACAATGTGAAACTTTACTTCGCTGAAATTGTATTTGCAAAAGAAGAAAACTATAGCAGATTAGGGAAGCGAGTTTTTGATATATATATTCAGGTAATGCTTTAACTCATTATGCTAATTTTCAGTTTTGCCATCTAATGAACGAATTCTCCATTACAGGGGAAGCCAGTACGAAGAGATTTAAACATAAAAGCAAAGGCTGGAAGTACTCCAAATAACGAGTGGATTGAAAATTTCACAGATATTAGTGTTCATGATAATATACTGGAGATCCGCTTGTTCTGGGCTGGAAAAGGATCTATTTTACATGATGATGGTGATCCGTTTTGTCTGAATGGACTTCCGGGTTTACTGAATGGACCTATCATATCAGCTATTTCTGTCACTCGAAGTGCAAATTTTCACACTTGCCCTTTTGTATAATTTTATTTAAATTCCCATTTTTGTCACTATGCTGACAGTATGGTTTTTGTTGCAATCTACTATTGTACTTAGACATCAAACCATTACCGATAGCATGGATTGTGGTTGCTTCTGTATTAACTGCAGTTCCTCCATTGGTTCTTGTATTGGCTTTTATGTGGAGAATGGGATGTCTGGGAGACAGAAAGTTGCGTGGTAATATGCAATAAACTCAAATGACTCTAATTTAAATTCTTTTGTGAAGATAATTTATTTTTTTTAATCTGTGTAGTGACAAAGGTGGAACTCCGAGGCCTGTCTTACACTATTAAACAAGTGAAAGATGCTACTCGAAATTTCAGCCCTAAGAATAAGATTGGCAAAGGGCGCTTTGAGATGATATACAAGGTTATACAATTCAATTAATTTTTTTATGTTGGGATGAATGTTTAGTATGTAAATAATTTATACAATTGGGCATTTTGTTCATTACTAGTCTTTGTTTGATATAAGGCTCAACTGCGTGATCAGACAGTAGCTGTGAAGAAGCTTTCTTTACTATCAAACATCGATCAAATAGGAACTGAAGTGTGAAACCCCGTTTTTAATCCTAATACATATTACATATTCTGTGTGATTTTATTTTTATGGAAGGGGATTTCTGTTAGTTTTTAAAAGTTTTATTGGGAATGAAATTGCAAGATAAGTAAGCTGTTGGGTTTGCATGTAACAAGGGGCAAAATCTGGGGGTTTATTTGAAATAAATGCTGATGTGGTAGGGGTTTAGCGGGATTACGTGTAATCTAGGGGCAGAAGCATAAATTTAGAAAGACTAAAAATATAAAATATGAAGAAGAAGAAAGATGAGAGAAGAAACCCGAAAGAAGAAAGGAAAAAGGAGAAGAGAAGGAGAAACGGGTTTCAGCCGAGAAGAAGAGTGAAAGAGTGAAGAAAAGAAAAAAAAAAACAAAATATGGAAGAGAGAGAGAGAAATAGGCGCCGACTAAGCGAAGAAGAAAAGGAGATCACTCAATTTTTGTAAGATTTGGTGAAAAGGAAGGAGGAAATCCGTGAGGAAGTGCTGGGCTTTTGGGTGGAGCACCGAAATTACCCTTTTCCCCAGGTTCACAGGAAGAGTCGTGCTGAGGAGTGATTCCTTTCGAGGTTGGGCCCTTACGTCATCGACTCATCATGTGTGTAAAAATATCATGCTTGTTATCGCTACCGAATTATGTTTTATCCTTATGTTTATCCCCTGTGTTGATTATAAAATATATGAATATCTGATACCATCCGTTTTTGGATTTTATGAACGTACAAGTTAGCTTTCAGATTTTCAAATGTATACATATATATATCTTATGTGTTTATGCTTTCAAAACGAATCCAAGCGAATGTTTTTATGAAAAACATATTTAGAATACAGGTTTTTAGATTCCCACACGGCACGTCTCGGCCGCCCGAGTCTCATAGGTGCGCCCGGAGCTTATGGGGTAAGGAGGGTTGAGGCGGGTCGTGTCATGAAGTCTATGCTTTGAAACAGTTAAAACATGACAATCTTGTCGAATTGTTGGATGTCTATTCCAAAAAAAATCTACACTTGCTGATTTATGAATATATGGAAAAAGGCTCACTTAAAGAAGTATTGTTTGGTAAGTTTTCTTTTAGTCATAAGTTCAATTAATCATGTTTGTGTGACAATAGGTCATATCTATATATTATTATCCTTCTTTAAATTAACAACATTAATGTTGTTAATTATGCAGATGAGTCGAATTCTAGAGTGATACTTGATTGGCCAAAGAGAGTTAACATATGCCATGGAATAGCAAGGGGTCTGAATTATCTACATCAAGATATGCAAGTGGTAAAGTTGTTCACAGAAATGTTAAAGCAAATAATATTCTACTTGATGGAAATCTTAACCCTAAGGTTTCGGACTTGGGATTGGCAAAGCTTTATGACGAGGAAAATCCATACCAGTTCATCAAAGAAATAGGAACAGTGTAAGAATCATTTGTCATTTCTTTTGGATCAAACGAACAAGTTATTTGTGCTATTTGTATGATTACTTGTTATTGTTTCAGAATATATATGGCACCTGAGTATGCAATGCGGAAGGCCATAATAGACAAAGCTGATGTCTATAGTTATGGAATACTTCTGCTTGAAATAGTTAGTGGAAAGAGTAATTCAAAGACTGAAGAAAACCAAGGGAACGATTATCTTTTAAATAAGGTGAGGGAAACAGACCAAATTTTATACAGAGCCAAGCAGCTCAGTTTTCAGATTCCATTGTACATTTAAGGGCTTACACTGTTGCATTAATGCAGGCTTGTGTTTTACATTCAGAGCAAATGCTTTTGAACTTGGTGGATACAAATCTGTGTGGAGATTATGATAAAAAGCAAGCTCTTAAAATATTGGATTTGGCTATAAGGTGCATCAATCTGTCACCTACTCTGAGGCCTACAATGCTCGAAATAGTGAGTGAGCTTGAGCAAATTTCTAATGTCAACGCTCCTTCTTCCTCAGCTTGATTTTTGAGCAGTTTGGTTTTATCAAAATGGTTTATGGAATAGGATTCCTAGCTTTGTTGACACGACCCGCCTCAACCCTCCTTACCCCATAAGCTCCGGGCGCACCTATGAGACTCGGGCGGCCGAGACGTGCCGTGTGGGAATCTAAAAACCTGTATTCTAAATACGTTTTTCATAAAAACATTCGCTTGGATTCGTTTTGAAAGCATAAACACATAAGATATATATATGTATACATTTGAAAATCTGAAAGCTAACTTGTACGTTCATAAAATCCAAAAACGGATGGTATCAGATATTCATATCTTTTATAATCAACACAGGAGATAAACATAAGGATAAAACATAATTCGTAGCGATAACAAGCATGATATTTTACACACATGATGAGTCGATGACGTAAGGGCCCCACTCGAAAGGAATCACTCCTCAGCACGACTCTTCCTGTGAACCTGGGAAAAGGGTCTAAAAAGGTGAGCTGAAATACTCAGTGAGTGGGGATTGGGGAGAGTTTGCAAAACATTCTTCAACAATAGTCATGGCATGCAATAGTTCTTATGAAATTCAGGAAACAACATGATCTATGAACGTTTTGGAAGTAACTAAATCATTCCTGTATGCATGTATAACCGTTTTCTAAAATTGTTCTAGTACTGTAATCTCATCATTCAAGCTGAAAACAAATTCTGAATTATAGCTCATCATTGAATGCTTAAGTTCTTTTTCTGGAAACTTAAAACATAACTATAAGTGCTTATGCTTCTGGGAACAATATTCCTGCAAGCATGCTGCAACCATCTATGTCATCCCTCAAGATGCATATGATCATGAAAATAATACTCTACTAGTCATGCTGCAAACATCCAAACCATCATTCAATGAACACTCATGGTTCACAAAACAAAATCTGTAACTAAATTTATAACTGCTGTGATGATATAATGAAAACTGATTTTTCTGAAACTAGCACTGATAACTGATTTTGGAATACGTAAACTTTATGCTGATACTGAACTTTAAATTGGATACTGTAGCTTTTACTGATACTGAAAATTATAAGTGATAATCTATTTCAAAACTGTGGCAATACTCAAAGCTCTCTTAATAATATTCTGAAACCCATATTGAGACTATCACTCATAGCTGATACTAAAAATTTAATGTGATTTGAACATTCTAAAACTGTTATGATGTTAATAACAGAAACTCTCACCGCAACTAGTACCCTTGGGGAAATCTGTCTTACCTAGTGGGCTTCCCGCACGCAAGCAAAGCAAGGGATGTACCTGTCATACCTGCAAGATCTATCATCCGCAGGCAGAGCTACTGAAACTTCATACCTGGCGGACCACTAAACGCCTAGGCAGAGCCAATAAAATCTGTCATACTGGCGGACCACTCAACGCCCACAGAGCCAATAAAATCTGTCGTACCTGGCGGACCA